AATTTTAAGAAAATCATCACTTTTGAAAAAACCTGCGTCATATCATACACAGGTAAATGAAAATAATTTTGTTGTTAAGTATATACTTCTTCTTCTGTGTGTATAAAATCTTCCGTTTAGGAATACCAAGAAATCTCTTTAATATCAATAAAACTAATCTAACACTTGATACATATGGGGTGAATATCAACAATAAAACTATACAATTAGTGCTAGATAAAACTTCCTGTACAGGTCCAAGAATACATGGTTTTATATAAAGTCAAACTTCAGATACAAAAATTTAGACAGCTGTAAAAATTTAATAAATTGGTTGAATATATATATGGATTTTGACTTGTTAGTCTGACACATAAACTCTTCTTACTTCCGTCAGTTATGACACGAAATTCTTTATGTAAAAATGTTATTACAAATGATGCGACTCTCAACAAATATTAGTTTGGAGCTTTCATGGAGTAGATGAAAACTTAACCGCACTTCGGATGCCTCAATTTTTTAAAGTTTCTTTGTCGCTACAGATTCATATCAATTTCATAGTCGCTGTTAATTTCGCAAAAAAAAAAGTTTTCTAGTCTCGGGGCGATTTAGAGACTGGCATATTTTTAGACAGTTACTTGTCTTTGATGAATAATGCATAAAAGGGATAAAGTTTCTTTTTCAAACGTTCAATGTCGCTACAGAATAAAAAATAGACCACGAAATACCACAACAACAGACTCTTATAAAAGAGGGTGTGGTTGGGGGTTTACAGAATAGATAATAGAGTAAATGGACACAAAAATAAAGAATAGAGAATAGTGAGGTGCTAAAATATTAAGAATAGATAATGATGGGCAAAAAGTATAAAGAATAAAGAAAAATGACCTAAAATGACCCATATGAAGGATACCTAATCCAGACCCTCGTAAAACAATAGACAAGCAAACAAAAACAAAGTCCGTATGTTTGTAGATAGCTTCATATGTCTTTTGACTAGGTATAAAAACCAACAACATACTGCACTACCAATCATGAATCCTCTAGGAACATCAGGACTATATAACATCTCTTGAGACGATATATATACTTGAACATACTGATACTATTTGGTTTAATCTTTTTTTTTTAATTAGTATTGCATGTTTATATAGCTTTGGCTAACATTTACAACTCAATTATATGACTTAACTAACTGTAGCTGCAATCATGTACAAACAAAGAACAATTCTGATTTGTTGGTGCCTTGTGTCATATGGTTGCTCTGGGACTATTATCCCAGGGTTGCTGTCTCGTTGAAGTATTATAATACCATAATCTTCAATAAATCAAATCTTTGTCAACAAAACATTTATCAACTTAGAGATATAAACTCTAAAACTATTTTAGACTATAGATACTGAAGCGAAATTAATTTTCGAAATGCGCTTCAGGTGCATTAAAATAGGACTATTTTTTTATTGCACAATCTGGTACAAATTGGTTTTCTCAGTTTTTTAATTGGAATATTTCTTATACATTGAATACAAAGCAAACATTTTCAATGTATTTATCAGTTTATAAGACTAAATTTATTCAGTTACAAGTCTGACCATATAGTCGGATTGTGAAAGTTAACCAACAGAAAGCAACTTCGTGATCATTTATTTCCTTTAGTCTCCTGGATCGTCAAACCTAATTATATGTATCAGCCTTTATCTTTGTTTCTTCATTATTACTGATAGTGGCAATCACAATGCAGCTTTTTATGGTGGCCGGTTAAGGCCATTTCGCGTTTTCGCCCTTCATATTCTATAGGGCGAAAACGCGAAGTCGAAAACGCGAAATCGGAAAGAAAAATATATCGCGTTTTCGTGTTTTCAACTTCGCGATTTCGCGTTATCGCCCTATATAATATGAAGGACGAAAACGCGAAAATGCGAAATGGCCTTAACCGGCTACCATAGCTTTTCGATTTAAGCATTATCCTTGATGTTTAGACAGTTCAGTCTCCTGTAGTATTTTTCTACCTACAAACTAGGTGCATGCTCTTCTCTAGTTTTATAACGTTAACTTATTTAACTTTAATTATTAAGCATTGAACATTATATATGCCTGACTTAGTGCGTTTATGATTGACATGGAATCATATAATGCTACATGGCATATATAACAAAATTTGCCAAAGTTGACGTTTAAAGGAAGATAATCCAAGTTTTTAATAAAATTTCATATTTCAAGACACAACTTTTATGCAATTTTAGATAATTGAAGGTGGCAGATTTGTTTAGTGTTGATAGATCATTAAGAGTCTGTGATTTATGTAAGGAAGAAGATTTGGATGATGAATTTCGTTATATATTTGAATGTACTTTCTTCTTATATGAGAGACAAACGTTTTTACTTGTAGATATACGTAATTAGTTTCTCAGAAAAAAAAAAAGATTCTTACTGGTTTTTATCAAAATTCTGTACGATTGTGATATAAAAATAACAAGATGTCTATATGCAAGTGATTCTTACCTTCCCATGCAATTCAGTACATGCACATATGTATGTCTGTGCGTTATGCTCGTGTATATTGCATGTTAGTGCTAGCTTGACACATTTGAGGCCTTCAGTGAAATAAAGTTTTAAAACATGTCCCTTGTCTATCAAAAAGATTAAGAAACTAACATTTTTTTGGTCTTACAATGTATTTTAACTATCTTAACTATTTAAACATGAGTGCACACGCTGAAATGTCTCGCCTACTTTAATATTCATGATTCATTGTGTGTTGATAGTCCTAAAGAAAAAGTATTAATACAAGTATCACATAAACTTAACATTTCAATCATTGATCAATGATCCATGAAAATGAGGTCAAGGTCTGATAAACTAAGCCTAGTCACACATGTACACCTTACAATTAGTACATATACCAAATATTGTTGACCTATTGCTTATAGTACACAAGAAACAGACCAAACCATGAAAACTTAATATCGACCAACGAACCATGAAAATGATATCAAGGTCAGCTACCAGACAGACATGTACACCTTATAATGATTCCATACATCAAATATAGTTGACCGTATTGCTTATAGTACCCCAGAAATAGACTTAACCAGGAAAACTTTTTATTAACCAATGAACCATGACAATGAGGACAAGGTCGGATGAACCCTGCCAGACAAATATGTTCACCTTGCAATCATTCCATGCACCAAATTAAGTTGACCTACTGCTTACAGTATCTGAAAAACGAACCTAAACATGGAACCCATATACCAAATATAATTACTCATACCACATCTTCTTATATCTATATGATTATCCTATTACTAATAATAAGTGAGAAATTTATATGACAAAAAAAACAAAACTTTGAACCATGAAAATGAGGTCAAGGACAATGGACACATGGCAGACAGAAACTTCGTAATATAAGGCATCTGTATACAAAGCCTCCAGGTCTACTATCCTTAAAAATATAAAGCTTAATACAAATAGTTTATGCCAGTGCCACAGCCATCTTGTAAAGACTATGTCCAGTCAGGGGACTTACTTAAATGAGTGATTTTCTAAATCACTGATTCAAGTAACATTATGTCCATAAAGGTTGGAAGTAAGGGTTGTCTTTCTTTAATAATCACCTATTTAAGTAGTACAAATTAATCACTAGACTAAGTGATTTAATTTTATTGTAGCTTTAAATATAGAATACTAATGATCCAGGGACTAATTATGTTGCTAAAATTATCAGAACCAACATCTGTGTTGATAGGATGACCGGGTCGTGTCAGGTGATGACCTTGTACTAAATCTAGGAAAATGACATAAAAATCACTTGTATAAGTATCATACCTCAATTTCCTTCCAAAAAATCACTTCTTTAAGTATCATTATTTTAATAATCCCCACTAATTTCAACACCCCCGAACAGTGAAATTTTGATCGCGAACAGTAGAATTTTATTACATAATCTATAAGATGAAACCTTGAATTTTACAGGAAAAATACTCCCACTGCTGGGAAAAATCTGTTAAGAAAGTATCAGTTCATTATGTAAAGCCATTTTTGTAGCATTTTTTCAACTAAAATAGAATTTGCAGCTAAATGATTGCATCAAAGGCATAAACCTTGCTGCTTAAAAGAAGCAAAAAGTTCATTTTTTTCAATTTTACTAATGAAAAGATATTTTCTAAACCTATGTGTTTAAAATTTTGGTAAAACTACAAAATCACAATTTGTGACAAAACTTAGAATTTGCTACTTAAATAAGTGATTTAAAAATCACTTATTTCAATAAGTCCCCTGACTGATGTCTCGCATTCTATTACTTTTGTCACAGGCGCGACAAAAATGTAAAGATTTCCTTGTTCTTGAGTCTAGAAATTTAATCTAAAATGTGTATTTTGTGCATGATTTGTGATACTTAATACATTATTGAAGGCCACAAGGTGACCAGTATAGTGGTTAATTTCTATGTCATTTGGTCTCTTGTGAAGAGTTGTCTCATTGGCAATCCTACCAAATTTTTTTTATATTATGTCTGACTTTGGCAAGAAGTTTACAGGCAACATAAATTTCCATGACTAACCAACATGTTTAACCCTGCCACAATTTGTATGTTTCTGTCCCCAAGTCAGGAGACAGTAATTCAGTGGTTTTCATTGGTGGCTGTCTGTCATATTTGTTTTTTAATAATTGTTTTGTCATAAATCAGGTTGATGGTTAACTTATTTGAATTGTTTCACATTTTGTCATGTCAATGCCTTTCATAGCTGACTATACAGTATGGGTTTTGCTCATTGTTTAAAGCTGTTCCCTTAAATCCGTGTCAAATGGATTTCTCATTGATAACTTCTGATTACAATAAAAAAACAACGAGTCAACTTTTTATACTTATTTCTGTATCTTGACTAGTAGGGTTATTGATTTTAAGAGTAATTTATAGTACTATACATGTGGCCATTTTGTCCAAATCATTTATATTTCATTCTTTGAAGACTGTAAACATTCAAAATAGTTCATTAATATAAAATTAAAACAAATTAGAAAGATAATTTTATTCTTTACATCGATTATAAAATGTCCATTTTTGATGACTGATGAATTAAGTATCTCAATTAAAAAAAAACATATTTGCATAATTTATAATACATGTAATCTATCCTCAAAGTAAAACTAACTAATCACCTAGCATAGCAACCATATTAGATCTGGTGGACTCTTATAAGTATCTCTGAAAAGTTATTTATACATGTCTTGAATTTAATGACTTTCTAATTGAAATTTTTTTTCTGATTTAATTTTCCAATAAGAAACTAACTTTTTTTTTTTAAATTGTATGTTGCATATACATTTCATAAAGAAATGGTAAATATTAATTTATCGTACTAAAATGAAAATGAATGATTCTGGTATATACATATGTACAAAACTTGAGTAAAAAAGGTTATAAAAATAATTACAAACGACTTTTCTGTACATATAAGTAATGTACACACAGTCAATTACACATTATATAACAATTGATATGTTCAACTACACAAAAAATGGAATGTATCTTCTACTGTTTTATTGGAAAAATAATTACAGTAGCTAATTTGCCTTCTTTTTACTTTTAGGCCAAATATACACCCTTGATATATAATGACAAAATGCTGTTTCTTATCTGTTAATTCTGTGCATTTTAACTGACTAGTTAAAAGGATTGTTTTATACTGCACTCTTTTGTAAAAAAATTGAATTGGTACTACATGTATCTTCACCAGTTAACTTTTTGATTTGTGAAATTCCCCTTGTCAGCTATTATTTGTATGAAACAATATCAAATAACTTAGATCCAAATATACATAAATCCAAGTTGTAGGCTGTGAAAGCAAAAATAATGCAATTATACAAAATTATCTCCCTTTGATCAAAAATAAATTGTTAAAAGTGTTTTATTCCTGTATCATGTGTATAATTCTTCAAAGAGAAAAATGTCAATGATAAAAACTATTTCTACAAGATGTGCTAAACTTTAACACATTAGAATATCTTTACAAAATGATCAAAGAATTAAAATGGCACTTACTGAAGATATATACAATGTGCAACATATAAAAAGCCTGAACATATATATGACAGCTGATATATTTCATTTCACATGCAATTAATACATGTAACATATTACAACCTATACAAAATATACTAAATAATACCACAATCATTTAAACATTTACATTTTTTCTCTATAAAATTTGATTTTGTTTAAATATTAATGTTAAATAAAAATTGAAATTTATTTAAATTAACAGTTTGCAATATAATGTATGATATTTTAAACATACATGTTCACATTTTCAATGAAGACAAAACCTAGAAACTATAAAGACTTTTACTTTCTGATATTTTTTACTGACTAGCCTATTTAGGGAAGAACATAAAAAAGCCCTTTAAAATAAAAACACCTGAAAAAAGATATGCATAATGTGAATATATCATCTGAAATTTGTCATGTTTTCTTAAGTAAAAAGTAAAAACAATTTGATGCAAAATTTGAAAAAAAAAATAATCCATTTATCCATTTAATCAAATTTCAATGAATTTATACAAAACCCAGTGTCTCGCCTACTTTTGCTGTTAATCGCAGGCTCAACAAAAATGAGATGAGGAAAAAATTTAATAAAAATATTCCTCTTGATACAATTTTTTTATTGTAAGAAGCTTCTGTCCAAGTTTGGTAAAAATCCAGGATAGTTTATGAATCTAATAAATGTTTTAAAAAATTTAACTGCAGACTGTATGTAATGTTAACTGGAAGAAAAACTAAGTCCATTTATAAGTAAAATATGGATAAACAAGTACAAAATTTTAATAAAAATTTCCTTCTAGATACTAGCTTTTGATCATAAACAAACTTCTGTCTATGTTTGGTAGAAATTCAGGATAGTTTGAGAAAGTTATTAAAATTTTAAAAACTTTAACCACAGAGTGAATGTAATGTTTCCTGGCAGAAAAACTAAGTCCATTTATAAGTAAAATATGGAAAAACAGGAATTTTTTTTTTACAAAATTTACTTCTGGATACTATCTTATGATCATAAACAAGCTTCTGTCCAAGTTTGGTAGATATCCAGGATAGTTTAAGAAAGTTATTAAAATTTCAAAAACTTTAACCACAGAGTGAATATTTGTGGACGCCGCCGATGACGACGACGGAATGTAGGATTGCTATGTCTCGCTTTTTCGATAAAAGTGGAAGGCTCGACAAAAATCAAGTTGAAAAATTGGTATGTTAAAATAAGTTTTGTTTTTTATACATTGCTTGAGAAAGTGTCTTTTGAGAGATAAGTATGAATGGTCTATTTGTAATAGTTTTTGTGAGGATAATCCTCCCTTAGTTCATTTTTGATGCTCCTGCCAGCAAGCAAGAGCAATACTGCTGCTATCAGTGTGAAAATGATGGAAATAACAAAAAATCCATATCCCCATGATAAATAGTTCTGGTCTGGTCTCGGCATCCAGCCTCGATCTTCTTTTTTCACTCCAAATAAAACCATTTCTATGAATCCCACCAGCACTGAAAAAAAATTTAAATTATAATAATGTATACTTATATATATATATAATATACATACATGTGTTATCAATATTTTATCTTGGATTAATATATTTTTTAATTCTTCTAGCTTCGGTAAGATCCAGAATTTGACATATTGAACATGTTGTGAAGTCATTCAATTATTGTTAGACTGTGCGACATGTATGATATCATTTGCTTGTTTCTTTTTTTTTTTCTGGGCTGTTGACTCATTGTATATAATTATATACCTTAAATATCATTTACAAGTGAGAGGTTTAGCTAGCTATAAAACCATGTTTAATCCACCACTTTCTACATAAGAAAATGTCTGTACCAAGTCAGGAATATGACAGTTGTTTCCATTCGTTTGATGTGTTTGAGCTTTTGATTTTGCCATTTGATAAGGAACTTTCAGATTTGAATTTTCCCTTGGAGTTCAGTTTTTTGTTAGCTTACTTTTATGCACTTTACACATGCTCCCATTTTTATTTTACCATATGCTTAAATGTTCCCTATGATCTTTTAGCATCATGGTAATGTGATGTTACATGTATCTACGAATGTGTTGCTATCTGAATACTTTTCTTATTGATGCTATAATATTTTCTTTTTAAATGCTGCTATTTTAAAGTTACTTGTTTATCAGGATTTTATATAAAATTGGTTGTGACACCACTGGTATTATCTAAGCTGCGTCAGATAGAAATCGACCTTATGCAAATGAATATCAATACATCTGTTAACCTCTTTCCGTTTGAAAAATCTCTATGAAAAGTCTGTAAATGTGTGAAAATTGAGTTGTTATAAGAACCCTAGCCTACAACACAGGCCTAAGTTCATCTTTTATCTCGTATTTGAATGTTCCAAAATCAATCAAAGTCTTATACATGTATGCATATTTCTATCAGATGCAGCTCATCTGTTGAAAACATTGTAATGTGTGAACTACTGCAGGGGTTTACAAAGACATTGACTACCCATGACAGTGACATGACAGTGAGTCTCTCAGAGTCTGTTAAGGTGGTACCCAACACCTTGACTAATATTAATTTGGCTTGTTTAATTTTCCTAAAATTTTGACAAAAAGTTTACTTTGACCCTTTGACAAAAATATAAAAATTTCGAATAATTTGAACCAACCACTTTATCAGAAAAATTTCACTGGTTATATAGCAGTTTGACAAACACTAATTTTGATCATTGAGAAGCTTAATATTTCCTTAACAATACAACGTGATTAAAACGTTTAGTTGATTTTTACAGAGTTATCTCCCTGTAGTGTTAGGTACCACCTTAAATTTAGATAATTTGTGAAATTGTTTATTTTGATTTCAAGCATCATATATCAGATTATTATCCTTTTTAATACTCACCAACAAAAAAGTAGACAAAACTAATTCCCATGAGGATAACTTCCTTCAGGTAGTACGGCAAACAGTTCAGCACCATAAGAATGAGAACAAATGTGATGATGACATGAAACAGCAGACATACGCTGACCATAACTTGACATACAATAAACCATGCTGAAAATTGATAAATCATACAATAGTTTCCTAACATACACTGACTATAACTTGACAGACAATAAACCATGCTGAAATGATAAATCATACATTAGTCTCCTAACATACACTGACCATAACTTGACACATACAATAAACCATGCTGAAATGTAAATCATACATTAGTCTCCCAACATACACTGACCATAACTTGACATACGATAAACCATGCTGAAATGATAAATCATACATTAGTCTCCTAACATACACTGACCATAACTTGACATACGATAAACCATGCTGAAATGATAAATCATACATAAGTCTCCTAACATACACTGACCATAACTTGACATACGATAAACCATGCTGAAATGATAAATCATACATAAGTCTCCTAACATACACTGACCATAACTTGACATACGATAAACCATGCTAAAATGATAAATCATACATTAGTCTCCTAACATACACTGACCATAACTTGACATACGATAAACCATGCTGAAATGATAAATCATACATAAGTCTCCTAACACACACTGACCATAACTTGACAGACAATAAACCATGCTGAAATGTAAATCATACATTCATTTGACATTAGTCTACTAAAGTCCAAGATTAAATGGGGGAGGGTCAGGATCTTAAATCAAATTTAAAAAAAAAACAAAGTTTTTGACAGAAATGCAACAAACTCAAAAGTTGTCTATTAGAATAAAATGATTGCATTTTCCCATTTCCTCATCTGCTTCTTTTTTTTTTATATAGATCTGTTCTAAACTCAAGGCTTTTAAATATTTTTTTTTTATTTTTTTCAGGAATCTTGTCAGTTGATTTATTTGTCAATAATTTTGTTAATGTTAAACAGATTAACATGTACCTTTAAAATTATTCGGGTGGAGAAACAAAATTGTAGGAAATAAGGTATATATATATTGTGTAAAAATCACTTCCGGTATTTGAAAATGGACAGGTAAACAAATAAACTTTGTGGTATCTGCCATGTGAATTTAAAATATTGGCTCTGTATATTTGTGTTACAATCTGAAACTAAAAATAATTCAGGCTTACGTGGTGATAGCCATTCCCAGATTGGTCTGTATTGGTCAGAAAAGATATACCAACAACCAAGGTATCGTTTTCCATTGTAGTCCTTCCAAAACGTGTAGTCATTGAAACAAAACTCCCATAATCCGCATTTGACAAATCTGTTTTCAGATTTAGAAAAAGATTCTATCCAATACGGGCTGGCGAATGATCCAACCATAAACGCCACAGCCGCTATTGCGAAAATTAAACCAATTACCGATTTCTTTTCGGCCATTTTAGTAGTTTACCTGCTTCGACTGTTATTGAACAGGTGCGAATTACATCTGTAAAGATAACTGTAACGTAACCGGGAACCAGTATACAATGTCATTCTCCAGGAATGTCAACAACCTGGACGAATCCAATACAAACAAAAGGTAAGTTTTTCTTTAAAGATCAGAAAATGTAAAGAAAAAAAAAACACAACAGCAACAGTTGAAAAACTAAAAAGAAAAATTTACAAAAGAATGAAAAAAATCAAAACACAATAAATCAAAATGAAAATGACATCAAATAATTTTATAAAGAAAAAAAAAACACAAAAAAATAAATCAAGAGCAAATTAAAACATTATCGATCAAGTTGTTACGATATCAAATTTAAATTTAAAGTTATTTTGAGTAGCTGCTATATATGTGCTAATCAGAGTGAGTAAAAATAAACTGTTATTGAAACAACTCGAAGGAGATGAAGGCGATGAAGCATGATCATGGTGATGCCAATGAGACAACTTGTTTAACTATCCGCCTGACCAGGGACAGTTTATATACTAACTATAGTTAGTATAGACTGTCCCTGGCCTGACTGAGTGACCATTGGACCGTTGGAAGGTGTAAACAAATTAAGGTCAATACCGTCTTCAACAATGAGCAAAACAAATACCGTTGTGAATGTGTATGCAATTAAAGCCCTGGAATGACAATTCAAAGGAGAAAACGTTTTAAAGAATTCATGTTGCCCTCTATATAAAAATAAGGAGATGTGGTACGATTGCAAATGATACAATCTGTTTTGTTATTGTCAATGTGTTGCTGTCTCTTTGGTGTATGCATACATCGCGTTCCTTCATATAAACCTATCCTTATTGTTTTTCAGCGTAGTTTTTATTCTCTTTACTTCTTGGCAAGAAGGAAAAAGCTAGATATTTTTTCATATTCTTCACTCATACAAATAAAGAAACGAGCTAGCAAGACTTGCTAGCTCGTTTCTTTATTTGTATGAGTGAAACATATGAAAAAAATATCTAGCTTTTCCTTCAACATGTTCAACTTGACTTTCTGTCATGTTAATGGAATAACATTAACATTAACATTATATTAAAACTGTGTTTTATAGTAACTTGGTTTAACTCTATTTACTAGGATAAATGAAATACATGTACGTTGCATATAAGATATATATTATGTTTGCTTCGTTCAATTTAAGCTAGTAGGAACTACAATAATTAAAGAATCGCCGGGGATTTTTGATTTTTTGATTTTTTGGTGTTTTAATGCCACTTTTAAGCACCGCTTTTGGGCTATTTCGTGGCGGCCAGTTTTTATTGGTGGAGGAAGCCGGAACCGCCGGGGATGGTACCGTGGTAGGAAGTTAGTCTCGAGTACATTTAAATGGTAACATGTACTTGCTTTTTCTCCAATATAAGCGCACAATATTAAGGAGAAAGGGAAAAGAATGGTCGGCTCGGAATTAGAATAATGTAACTAATGAATAGCATGTTTACAATCCATCCCAGCGCATCGGTCTAGTAAGAATAATTTGAAGGGTTTCTATTCACATCACATAAACATCAATTTCATTTAGCTCCTCCCCCTCCTCCTCATCATCATCTGGAGAAATTATTCCGATACACTGGCTCCTATTTAACCCACTAAAAAGAAACACGCTGATAAAAAGCATTGTCTATCAAGTTCCTTCAAAAACATCTAATTTTAAAAGGAGACATTTAATAACACAATGTTCGGTGATTTTGATTTTTGATTTTTGGTGTTTTAACGCCACTTTTAAGCACCGCTTTTGGACTATTTCGTGGCGGCCAGTTTTTATTGGTGGAAGAAGCCGGAGCGCCCGGAGAAAACCACCGACCTTCGATAGGAAAACTGACAATCCTAGTCAATTAAGATTGGAGTCGAGTGCACCTGCACGAGCGGGGTTCGAACTCACAACCTCAGTGTTGACTGGCTAGTGATTACAGTAGTAACTACTTAGACCACTCGGCCACCGAGGCCCCCCAATGTTCGGTGAAAGTAATAATCTGTATTATAAATGTACACAAAATACTTCTTCTGACATGTCTCTACAATAGGAAATTTAAAATAGTTTGTGTGAGAGCACAAAACTTCGTTATGTATGTCATAGAGATGCATACTTAAAATACTAAGAGTGTTTGTTAATCGATTAACCGTGAAATTACATTTAACGATCTATTCTGTTGATACATGTAAAACGGTAGATTATTTACCTTGAAATAAGAAGGATATTTTTTGTAAATTATATCAGGACATCTTTAATAAAACAGTGAGTAGAATAAATTTATTACTAAAAATTTCCATTGCATTTTATTTGAAGAAAACATTCAGTTTTAATTTAGTTGTAAAGAATAGAAATCTCTATGAGGTATACTGCAATAGCATTTAACAAAGGATATTATGACTAATCTGCAGTAAGCACCAAGAGTCGATGCTTTAATAAAGGGAAGTCCCTACTATATGTATATACCCATGGAGGTCTCGCACGGTCAGTGGAAATACTAGAAACGACTTTATAAACTGACCTTCGAACAAATGATGATTGTGACAATATTTTCAACAATAAGTAAATATAGAAGACTAACAAGTAACAGACATAAAAAATCCGGTAGAAATCTAATAGACTTGTGGGTTAGGTGAGTTGAAACAGGATAGCTGCCCGGTATTCAATACTGAACTAAAAAGATATCGATATTTAATAGAATTGTGCAGGCATAGTCATGATAGTATTCTTGTGTAAAATGTAATTTGATATAAACATAATGTGTATGAATTATACAGTTCGTACAATGTAGGATGTATTAACGATGTAATTCGATAGAAATATAATTTGAACGTATAATTATAATTCTAAAAAAACGTACTACTTCGTTTCAAGTACATATCAGAACTGAATAATAAAATATCATTACTTATATATATATATACGCTGTAGGATTTTAAAAAATAGTTTGTTTGTTTTGAAATGACCAGTCAAATGATCTACATGTGTATTACTTGCCTTTTTGTTTGTGTGTTTGCTTGCTTGTCTGTCTGTCTGTCGGTCTGTCTGTCTGTTTGTTTGTTTGTTTGTTTGTTTGTGTTTTGTTTGTTTGCAATGTTGATGCTTGTTTTTTTCTAAATCTTTTTTCTGCGTTTGTCTCCTTTCTTTGTTTGTTTGTATTGAGAAAATTTGCCCTTACTTGTAATCCTTGTTTAATATATTGCAGGAAATGGCGGACCAGTTCGAGTGCGAACCTTGCATGAAAAGAAAGAGACAATCAAAAGCAAGCAATTGGTGCTTGCAATGCGAGGAATTTATGTGTGCAGAGTGTACGGCGAGTCATAGAAGCATGAGAAAGCTTCAACATTGTAAGATAATAGAAGCCAAAGATATTCCTCTCGTTACAAACATGAGTTTACAGAGTTGTAACAAACATGGGGGTCTACTACTAAAGTTATTCTGTGTAGACCACGATGTCATGTGCTGCCCGGAATGCGTGAATGAAAATCATAAAGGTGGCTTCTGTAGGAATGTAATGCATATCGACGAGGCATCTACCGGAATAAAAACGTCACATATTTTTGTTGAATCAAATAAACAAATTGATCATATCATTAAATCGCTGAATGGACTTAGAAATGAATTGTCTTCTAATATTGAAAATATTGAACTTAATACAAAGAAAATAAAAGAAGAAATTGCGAATACAAAAGAAGCCTTGATTCGGCATATTGAGTCGCTTGAAAAGGTTATGTTGGAAGAACTTATACAGAAAACGCAAGCATATTTGAAGCAAACAAAACGAAGAATAAAAGAAACAGAAGAAATTCTTCGATTAACAAAAGAACACGCAGACGCATTTGACTTCGTCCAGAAAAACAGGTCTGAAAGGCAAGCGTTTTTATTAATTCACAATTCTAAAGAAAGTTTAACTCGAATAGAAGATAGAGTGGCCAAACTTGATGGTAACTCTCTGCAGTTGCAGATTTCTTTCGTTGGAAGTTCCCTCGAAGATGCTGCTACAGAAATAGGGAAGCTAGATTTGATAGAAACAAAACGGACAAATCCGTTTGCGTCGTCTGTTTTGCGTCATTCACAGTCTTTTGTCGGAAGGAAAAGTTCAGATTTCTCGTTTGTTTTTCTGAAAGAATTGGATCTTAAACTGTTAAGTGCGTCCCCCAATTACACAATTACAGGTATGGCCATATCTGGAGAAAACGAACTCATGTTATGCGACATCAAGAAATCCAGAATAATATTATTTGATACTGCAGATATCTACCGCAGTTATATCAAATTGTCGGACAAACCCTGGGATATAGCCTCGCTTGGACAAAGTAGTGCAGTTGTTTCATCACGTGACGTAGACAGCATACAGTTCATAGACCTAAAAAAAATGTCATTAATCAAGAACGTTAAAGTCAGAGATAGTTCAAAGGGAGCTATTGCTACTACTGACGAAAGCATTTTGGTTGGAGCCGATGGTAAAATACACGTGCTTGATCACGACGGCTCAGGAATGAAAATAATCACTGTTCCAGCTGAAGGCACAGTCAGTTACATTTGCACTCCTTCCGTCAACAGCATTTGTTTTTGTGATGGATCCGACGAAACAAAATGCGTAACATTTGACGGGGATCTAGTTTTTAGCTACCAGTCTCCTGAGCTCGTGAAGACCAAAAATGTTACAGCTGACAATGATGGACACATATACATTGTCGGAGAAGACTCTCACAACATTCATCATCTGTCACGTGACGGGAAGTTCATAGATATTGTCCTCTCAGACGATAATCAGTTATACTACCCAATAGCGATTACCTTCAGCAAAGACTACAGTAAATTTTATGTGGCATGCAAATTTTACGACATACGTGTTTTCAATGTCAAGAAACGTTGACTTATGATTTCCGCGGACAATAGCGCATCACTGGTCCATGCTTGGACATTTTATTAGATTTAGTGCTTTATATGTTTTGGTGATGGTCAAACTGAAAGTTCTATATCTTTGTAATTTACTGGTAAATAAAAGCTTATCAAAGATAACAGGATTATCATTAATTACGCCAGACACACTTATCGTCTACATCACACTTATCAGTGTCACTCGATTCATACAAGTTGCAGAACCAAAATCAGTGGCTTAGAAGGGGGGAAGGGGGGAGGGGGTTCGTAGAGGTCGAAAACAAATAATGAAATCTCACGATTAATGTGATTTTTTTATGATAAAGTCGTCCAAAAAAATGTTCGCATCGCTACGCTCGGCGGTTTATATACAGTTTTATAAAATTACGCCCCCTTTTCGAAAATCTAGTATCCGCCCCTGAAAATCATTACAAAATTCAGCAGCTTTTATAAACGGTGTGGCAAATCTGACTGAATCCCTTTGCACGTTTGGGGGGGATAGTGATGAACCGAATGATTTTAACATTTTTAACAGTCAATTTAATTTCAGAAAAGGGCCACATTGTTAGTTCATGTCATCAGAGTATAGTATAAGGTATTCATCAGATACTTATATTGATGTCGAAAAAAAAAGAAAACGTCACGTTATAAATTCAATTCGTCCGAATCGCTTTTCTGTATTCATCAGGAACGCTCAAAGCCGAATATTTGAAAGCCAAGGCTGTATAAGAACCGAAACCGTTGAAAAGCTATGTGACCAATAAGGACCCCAAAATAATAGCAAAATCCGTCTAAGGACAATTTTGTCTGAATAAGTTTACTGTACAAATTATAAATTCTTGTTCTCATGTTGAAACAAAACATCCACCAATTTGTCCATCCAGCTGTCCATCTGTTTTATGTATTGCATATCACGAATGAACATAGATTTTCGTTATACACATTGTTAAATCTATTGAAAGCAAAGAAGAAAAAGTAACGTTGTGCTTTTATTGATTTCCAAAGAGCGTTTATTCTATTCAGAAAAGTTTACTTTTATGCAAACTGTTGAATAATGACATAGACTGAACCTTTTCCGAATTATTCAGAACATGTCCAAAAATATTAAGTCACTTATGACTCATAATAATTAGAAACCAGTCTTTTCATCTATGCGGTTTTCGATAGTGAGAAAACCTATCTCCTGTTTTATTTTCAGTTTATCTTAATGATATAGAAGATCATTTCGAGAGTCTGAGATAGAATATAATTAACTGGTTTGACATCTAAAAGTTCAAATATGGAAAATGATCTCACAGTTTACTAAAAGATATATGTTTTTGGGTATATGCTGATGACACTTTTCTATTAGCAGAAACAAGCTCTGATTTACAGAATATGTTAAATGCTTTCTCAACATAAATGTATATTGTGAAAATAGAAGCTGATAATTAATTTAAAAAAAAAAAAACATGCTGTAGAATTTCACAAATTTGATTGTTTTAATCAACGCAAGAAGAGATTCTGTTTCATTCAACAAGAACATATGTATACATGTATAAAAAAGGCACGAAAACAATGTACACTTTCTTTATAAAGTGCAGACAAAACCATCTATCTATTGCAGAGGGTCTGGGTGGGGTTTACATGATAGAGAATAATGGGCCAATACTACAGAAAAATGGACCCCAAAAATAAAAAATACAGAAAAATAGGCCTAAAAATAAAGAATAGAGAATAATGGGTGCTAAAATATAAAGAATAGGAAATAATGCATGGGCAAAAATATAAAGAATAGATTAAAGAATACAGAAATATTAAATGACCCCCTATCCAGATCCTGAATGAGGGACAGTTGAATATTTTTATAAAGCAGTATTGCCAACTCTCAATTTGTTTTATGTAGCCCAGAAATATGGGGTTTACAAATTTTGACTGGTTTGGACGTATATATCCGACTCAGATTTCGTAAATTAATTCTACATCTTAAACAAAGTATACCCAAATGTTATTAGTTATGCGAATTTGGTACATATCCGATATCTTTGAAAACAAAAGTATATATGGTAAATGTCTGTGGCAGATTATTTTAAAATGATAAAGAAAGATGAATATCTTGAACTTTTATTCAACAACTTGACTATTTATGGATTTCAAAAACCAGTGGCTTGTCAATGTAAAATATATTCTAAACGGAAGTGGAATGTCAAACATATAGTTATGCAATTTCTGATGAATGGGTATCATAAAGTGTTGAACAAACATTAAAAGATCAATATAAACTGTCGTGATTGTCAGATATATATATAGATGTATGACCAACATAATTTTTTTTTAAAACAGAAATTAAGTTTGAGAAATATTCATGTTTTTGCCAATTAATAATTTGTATAATTTGTGCAAATTTAGATGGGATAGCTACCGATTGCCAGTTGAGACAGGAATATGGTATGGTCCGGCTTTCAAGAGGCAATAGAGTATGTCATATAACCACCATGAGTGTTACAAAATCTTAGTACATACACATTTAATGTTTTATTAAATTCTATAAATACTGTAAAAAAAAATAGAAGCTGTGTAAATTTATCAAAGTCTTTTAGATAAAGGTGAACTTATGTACTCTTAAACTATGCCAAGTCAGGGGACTTGGAGCCTGGTCGTTGGTTCATGTTTGTCTTTCGTAAATTGTTTTGTAACAGTTATTAAATTCTCTCTCTCTCTCTCTCTCTCTCTCTCTCTCTCTCTCTCTCTCTCTCTGCTGATTGTCTGTTAATTTAAATAACAGGTCAACCATAATACAAATCTACACGTGCAATAATATACAATTACAGTCTTTTGATGAGGTAAATATGTGGTTTTATTGACTTTTGAAAAACTGATATTCACTGAGGCCAACAGTTTTTTCAAAAGTCAATTCAGGGGCGTAGCTACCTTCTTAATGAAGTGGAATCACAAACTAAAGGGGCGAGGGGTCTGGGGCCGCCCAAGGGCCCAAGTAGGTCCAGGGCAAAGCACTGGTAGGGGGGCAAGGGGGCGAAGCCCCCGGAAGCTCCGCATATATAGCGTTTCAAAACAATCACAACCGAAATAAAACTTGGACATTTTTGTTGTGGTTTTTTGGTCAACTATTTGTTTAACTTCGAGCCGAATGAAGACTTAACATTGTCGCTTGCGTTTTTTGTACGTGAAAGCTTTTAAAATCACGGAGATTTGTTCCATATGCTAGTATTTGTATTGAGCAAAGTAGTTTTAAAAAAACAAAAAACAATAAACATAAACACAATACTATATGTGGAGTTTCTGTTAGCAAAAACATCATGGATACCAAATACTTGGTGGACACATTCTCATATATTTTGCTGAACATATGTATTTAGATGTTTAAAAATTTTGTGGGTAAACTCTACAAGAGAGAGATGGGAATTTCGAATTTTACGTAGTTAGGAATATTCGAAGTTGAAATTAATGAACTTTTTCAGAGGAAATGGTACTTTGATCACGATCTTTTTCATGATCTGCGTTTTTAATTAGCCAGCTAATTAACAAATGCATATGCATTCGACCAGTTGTATGGCAATATCTAGATGTTAACAGTGAAGGTACGTGTAATAAAAGTTTGGTGTATTTTTCGAACAAGAATCAGCAGTTTAGTGTCCTACTCAGACAGACAGTTCTTTTTTTTAAATTGAATGACCTAATAGTCCAGTAAAAATAAAAACGTAAAACATGTACTGGAAAATGTGTACTTTTTTTTTATAATAACAGCAGTTCCCAACTTCTCATCTACTAGTATACGGAAACTATTGATTGATTGAATGGTTATTAATGTCCGGTAGCAAATATTGCATGCACACAGGAGAGATACGTTGACGTGATGTGAAAATGAACTATTTGTGTTGTCAAGACCTACATACTTAGTCAATATTGAACAAGTTCACAAGGTAACAGTCATTATTCCCGGATCGATACGAGTTGAAGAGTCTTCATTCTAGTAAGATGTGTGCTTTGGGGCGAAGCGGAAAATAATAATTTTCAAGTTTTTTTGTTAACCCTAAAGGGATTACGTTTTTTTTTTTTTTTGCACTCAAAGCGAGTATACGGTATGGTTGTGGTACCAACAACTATGTAGCTGGTATTTTCTAAACAATGCCCGTAATATAAAAAGTTCCTCTAAGTTTACACCTGTTGTATGTATATTTATCGTACACATATCTGATGTTCAGTAGTCGTCGTTTGTTGATGTGGTTCATAAGTGTTTCTCGTTTCTCGTTTTTTATAGCGATTAGACCGTTGGTTTTCCCGTTTGAATGGTTTTACACTAGTAATTTTTGGGGCCCTTTATAGCTTACTGTTCGGTGTGAGCCAAGGCTCCGTGTTAAAGGCCGTACTTTGACCTATAATGGTTTACTTTTTTAAATTTTGACTTGGATGGAGAGTTGTCTCATTGGCACTCATACCACATCTTCTTATATCTACTTACAGGATTAAAAATTCCACTGCATGTGTATTCCTCTTGCTTTTATTCTTTGTGCAGTTTTTAAAATGCATACATAGAAAGACCAATTCCTATATGTTAACTTTGTCCCTCACTCTCTCTCTCTCTGTTTTTTTTTTTTTTTTTTTTTTTTTTGTGAAAACGACGTGGATGCACGTGCTGCCGTGCCTCCGGGTAGCTACGCCCCTGCAATTAAACCACATATTTACCGAAACAAAAGACAGTAAATGTTTTATTCCATATTCCGAGAGAGTACAGATAGAAATGTATGTCATGACAATTATTTACCAAAACTAATTGTACATCAACCGATTTTAACATAATTATACACGTGAAAGCACGCGACGTTTTGCGCGGTGAATATACTTTTTCCGCAGGTGAATATGCTTATTTATTCAAAATCCCATTCATATAGAAAAAAAACCTACTAAAGTTCTATCCTTAATATGGAATAATTATTCCATATTGATAGAACTTTTATATTTTTTTTTTCTATATTATTCCATATTGATAGAACTTTAGTAGTTTTTTCTATATGATTGGGATTTTGAATAAATAAGCATATTCACCTGGGGAAAAAAGTATATTTAACCGCGCAAATTGTCGTGTGCTTTTACGTTATGTTAAAATCGTTTGATGTACAATTGGTTTTGGTAAATAATTGTAATTATATACATTTCTCTTGGTACTCTCTCGGAATATGGAATACAACAATTACTGTCTTTTGTTTCGGTAAATATGTGGTTTTTACGCTGGCCTCAGTGAATATTAGTTTTTCAAAAGTCAATAAAACTACATATTTACCACATCAAAAGACATCAATTGTATAATACATAAAAATTGAAATTCGTGATGTCCCTTTGGTATCTTTCGTCTCTCTTTTACCTGTGATTACACAATTTTACAGCCTCTCTCCGCTTCAACTAGTACCAATATCCGGTTTCGCTTCCATACGATGAATATGAAACCGAAAAAAGAAAACTGAAAGTATTGTCTTTGTGGATACACAAAAACTGAAATCATTGTCTTTGTGAATAACAAAACTGAAACTAGCCATCGCCTTTGTGAATAACAGAACTGAAATTAGGCATCGTCTTTGTGAATAACAAAACTAAAACTAGCCATCGCCTTTGTAAATAACAAAACTGAAATTATATATATTAGTCATCGTCTTTGTAAATAACAGAACTGAAACTAGCCATCGTCTTTGTGAATAACAAAACTTGTGAATTAAAAAAAAACTAAGTAGCAGTTTTTGTTATGGTACAGACGTAATGGTAGTGATTGAAGTGGCAGTGGTAGTTGATGGAAAAGTACGCCACGGTATATTTGTAGCAGAAGCAGCACATCAGCAGCTACATCAGCAGTAGTAGCAGCAGAAACAGCAGATGCAGCAGCAGCAATTGTAGTAGTAATAGAAATGGTAGACTAGCACCACCACAATCAACAAAAACTACAATGTACAACAACAATACCACCATCATTGTCTTAATTGGACAGCGGCCGTGTAACAGCACACCATACAAGAACAAACTATAGTATATGCAGATTGTGTCTGTAAATAAATCAAATATTGAACTTGAACTTGCTCTATATTAAAGAATGGCAATTAACTTATAAATTAGAATATTCTTTTTTTCCAAAACAAAACTGTCCAATCTTGATAGCTCAATATATAAGGGATCTGTCATTTGTACTCTTTTGGAATGAAGTCAATGTCCTTGAATGGGGCGTCGGATAAATGGTGTGGTCCTAGATTCAGAAAGGATGGGTTTAAAAAAATTTGTTAATGTTATTAACGAGAAACATCATGATCGTATTTCTTTTAGATTAGATTGGTACCAAGAATTTGGTGGTTCTACTTATATATAAGAATTGTACATTTCTTCTGAATAAAACCCCTTAAAGCTATAGGCTTTGGTCGACATATCATAAATCGATCTCATAATTCTTGTCACTGTCCTATTTTCTTATTTTTTTGTAAAGGTGATTCGAGTGATTACGTTTAGCAATATTTAGACTTGAATGTGCGATTTCTGCCTGATTATCAACTTTTATAAAAGGGAAGCCGGTACAATTACAATGTAATGTACATGTACCTACAAGATGATTCAGATGCTATTATTCGCTCGCTCAATTTAAAAAAAAAAATCCTTTAAACTGGCTGAGCTATCATATAAAAAGAAGATCTCTTCGAGTTTAGAGACCAAATGACACAGAAATTAAAAACTAGGTCACCGTACCAGAGAAGGATCCAGCCATTTTTAAAAGGGGGTTCCAACCCATGATAAAGGGAGGGGTGGGTTCCAACCATAGCTAGGTCCCCATTCAAAAGCATTGATCGTCAAAAAAAGGGGGGGTTCCAACCCTGGATCCGCCACTGCGTACGGCCTTCAACAAAGCCCATACATGACATTTACATTATTTGTTATATAATTTTCAAATTTCATTGATTTCTCCAAAAACCTGTATTGACGTAATTGACGCAAATGTAAAAAGGGTTTTAAATTTAAGATTGTCTCAGTAAATGTGTCATACCATTATAGATTTAAAGATTTACTGAAAGGCCATCTCATAAAAGAAATTACAAATTTTTTGACGCGAAAAAAATATAGGAAAGGTAATCCAGTCATGATTGCTGTGCGCCCCTATTGACTTTTGAAATAGAATAGCCCTTACCTGTTGCTAAATTTCAAAATGGCGAAATCAAGAGGCGACTGGCTACTCGTAGCAGGGCTAGTTTTTTCGGGATTTGCCCTTCTTTTTCTTGTGATTGGTTTTGCGACACCACATTGGTTGGAACTGGACACTAAGTTTATAACAAACAGTGGGTTTGAAAAGCTTGGATTGTGGGAAGCGTGCTTTAACAACTGGGCATATTACAGAGACTATACAGGCAAAACATACAACGGTTGTTGGTGGATATTCTCCTACGAATATCGTCCAATATGGAGTTATATCAACCCTCGTAAGTTTTCTTTATATTTAGGTAAAACTGTTTTAAAAATAATAGAGAAAATTGTCGTTTTTATGACTGTACCTGAAAATACCTGTGGGAGAATCCATTGTTATTGTTTACTTCCGGTATGTTAAAAATAAAGGAATCATTCTTGTTTGTCATTTTTTCTGTGTTAGTTTGTGTCATGAACGACATTTACACATGGAATAATGCATGAATTAATCTGCTGTCCCTGGCTTTTATATAGGTGGTTTGAAAATTCAAATAATTCGATTTTTAGTGGATGACCATTTGTTTTTAGTATATTTTGTGGGGGGGGGGGGGTAGTCAAGAAATAATTATGCCTCTTGAAAGGCTATTTTAATTTTTTGATATGACGCCTTCTGTAGAGCATTGAAGAATTTAATAGAAAAACAGCCTTTCAAGATGTCATAATTATTTTGAATGCCGTGTGTGTCAGGAGAATTTTTCATATTAATTTCCATCTCACATCAATTAATTACTTAATTTATTTTTGTGGATTGAGGAAAAATTTGTATTTCTGATGTACATGTATGTGATTAGTTGTTTTGCTAGCCCAAATAACAATAATGACGTCTTGAAAGGCTGGTATTTTTATCATCTTCATACAAAATGTGCTTTGCCCAAGGATTTTAAACTCCAGTATAACTACATATAGAAGCAATTCTTAATATTATTAACAAATACAATAATTAGAAAATTGTGATACATGACAAATGTTTTAATGAAACTGTACTGGAATTTTTAGTTTTATTGGATTTACCCGTGGAATCCAATGGGTCACTGGAATCCAGTGGAATTCCAGTGGAATCAACTGATATTCCACTGGAATTCCATTAACATTTTCTATTGGACATGTCTCTTAAAAATCATATTACATCTATAACAGAATAATGTACATGTTTTATATTTATTTCTAGCATGGTTCCTTGGGATCCAAGTAATGATGACTCTGGCTTTACTAGCAGAGATTTCAGTGGTATTACTGGCAACTTTGTTCCTGATAGGATGTTGTCCAGGGAGAAATAGTGTCTGTGGACTGTTTATTCTTGGCGGTATAGGATTATGTTCAGGTACAGTACATATATATCGTATGAACAAAAGAAAAGGTTTGGATACCTCAATGTGACAGCAACCTAACAGCAAGGAGATCCAGAAGTTAACTTTCATGTACATGTTCACATTCATTTTAGAGTGTTTATAACAGGGACGCTTGTTATTTATAGCCATTAATACAATATGTACTGATAGCAGCTATTTTATTCCCTTAATTGTTTGAAGGATTTACTGGTTTCAGTGGTTTGGGAAGAACTGCATTAAAATAATTTTGAATGATGTTAAGAAATTGTATACATTGTTGCATTTAGATATAAATGTATATGCATTTACATATTTTTATGAATTCAAGTGAATTTTATTCTTGGAATAAAAATATCCCTGATATAGAAAATATAAGAGTGAGGTGGATAATATTAAAGGGATATTCAAAGTCGATGACAAACTCACAATGCCATGGCTAAAAATAAACCAAAAATCAAACAACAGTTTACAAAACACAACATAGAAAAATCTTAGTTACTGAACTAAGATGAATTAATAATTGATTATATTTTTTCTTATTTATTTTTTAGGTATTTTGACAGCCATATGTACCGTTATATTTGGAGCCAAGTCGGTTGTGGACAGACAGTGGATAGAGAATCCAGATAAAAACTTCCTGTCCTGGTCATTTGGATGTGTTGTATTTTCTGGTTTCCTGATCTTGTTCGGTGGAATGTGTATCATTGTATCTGCTCTACAGGTGCGATTAGCAAACCAGTACAGTCACAGGTCCAAGCCATACGCAGGATATGAAGCTCGACATGAACCTCCTTATTACTCATAAGAGGTCAAAGGTCAAACTTCAGACTTCAATTTATGTACATCTTTTTTATTTTGAAAAAAAATGTATTTTATGTACAGGTGTCATTCTTGATCTGATTGATCTTCAAAGATTCATTTACATTGGTTGTAGTAGACCCTTTAATGATTTTTATACATATACATTTTGTACATGTACTTAAAAGGTTTTTTAAATGAATTTTAGAGATTTTTTTTAGGCAAATTGACATGAGTTCTTTTGATGTATTTTAAGAAAGATTTGTAGTACAAACAAAGCTTTGAAATATCGAGAATATATAAAGATAAAAAAAAATGCTTGATGCAAAATGCATTAAATAATTGACTGCCTAAAAAAATTGTCCTTTAAACAAGATTCCATCTTCATACATGTATATAAACACTTGCTCTGTATTTGGATAAAATACATAGATGATATACTATTTCTATAGCATCCTAAGTTTTCAAAAAACCTGCAAACAAATTTTATATAAGCATTCTTTTGAAACCTTTCCCACTATTTTTTTAATTTGTATATACATATCAAATGAAAAAAATCAGGAAATATGTGTAAATACATTCCAATTTTTTTTTATATCTAAATTTTTTAATAATTATTTTGTGTAATATATTTGTAAATACATAAGCCTCTCGAGACAGAGTCTCAACTGTCATGACTGTACATATTCATCTTAATAAGCAAGATTATTATATATTTCTAGATTGTGTGATGTATCATAATATCATGTGCCATTGTTCTATCTTTTTACCATGTTGAAATATGTATTTTATTTTAAGGTACTAGTACTAATTTAAATTTGATGAGTTGTGTGAAACATACCATATTTACTTTAAAAAAAATTATGAGTCCCAGCATGTAAAAATGCGAATTTAGAAAACATTAGTGAGTCTCGTACGAAAAGGAAGATTTTTGCTCTCATCAAGATAAAATGCTGCTTAAGAATCCCTATTTTAAAATATATTTGTTTATTTCTCCTGTATATGACTGAATTTTTGATTTTTAAAAATAAAATCTCTTAAAAACTTCAAAATAAAATACTATAAAATATTTCTCAATTAGAGATACCATGTTTCATTGTTTATAGAAACGGTACTGCAATGGAATGTACAAACTCATTTAGCTAATGTTATTACCAGACTTGACTGTATAAAGTAAACAATACTACAAAGAATAATATTACTTCAAATATGTTAAAACTTTGTACTTTGTAGTCAGGGATAGAATTTTGATATATCGGTACTCTGAATATTATACATGTATCTCTCATAGTAAGTGCATCTGTTATGTCAATTTGACAAAGAATTCAAATCACCAGTCATCATTCTATTCTTTTAAAGGGAAGCTACTGTACACAAATTGAGATTCAGACAAAAATCAATCTTTCTGTTATTCAGGGTGGTTGCTGATGATTTTACATTAAATATTAGTTGTAAATTTTGTTATTGATATTTATTGTTGACTTAACTTTTTCACAAGAAGTCATGTGATCATCTAATGCCATATGAAATTTTCAGGTTTACATATTTATAATTAAAAAAGTATCATACTTCAAAAAGGTAAAATACCTTAAATTATCAAATTAATCATACAAATAGTTTTAGCAATACTGGAGTTCTAGGAAAGAGGGGATTGAAAAAATTGTAAAATGTGACATGTTTTCGATATATCTATGTAACCTAAGTTGGCTTTCAAAGGCAGATTAGGCAAATTGAAATTTTTAAACAGATTTCCACTGAAAAAATTTGATCACACTGTTACATTTCGATTCCTTTCCTGCTGAAAACCTATTGTCAGGTGAGGTTATCCACAAAATCATATTTCATGCAGTCAACATGTTGTGGATCTCGAATATGTATAAATTTATGACATAGTCATGTGACTTACTTATACATATCCAAAAAATTACGACAGGATGACAAAGAACACTTCTTGATATTGATCGCAACATTTTTAAAATGTTTTCAAATATTATGCTTTGAGAGTTCATGATGAAGGTTAATCCAGAAAAAGACTTTGAACCCTTGAATTTCAAAACGTGCTGTTTTTCAATTATTTTTTTTTGATATACAAAGGGAGACAACAAGATTAAATTTGATGAAAGAAACATTCATTTGGTAAAGGTATAACTGCTTGGCTTATTTTATATGAATTGCATATTTGTATTCAGATATCTTTTTGAATGATTTTTTTCCCTTATTGTATTAATACTATTTTTGATAGCATTAATTAGATATGGGTTGTTAACAAAAAAAAAACAAAAATAGAAAAAACAAAACTTCTTTTGAAAATAAGAAATTCATTGACACTAATTTGTCATTCTTGGATTCCACTGCTAACCATTGGAAACTGTATTTGCTGATAAATGAATCAAGAAAAAAGTTATATATAGCAGCATTTCAACATTGTTATTTTTTCATCGCTCATAGTAGGAAATTGTAATTGTTTCAGGTTATCTCTTTGAGATTTTATTTATTAATGGAAATACTGAAAAATTTGAAGACAAAATTGAAAAAACTACTGAACTATTCGAAGTACATATGAAACAGCTGTATTTAACATGAATTTACTGTAAATTATTAAAATAATTTTGTGGGAATAATAATAAATAACAGTTTTGTAGTATAACACAAATATTATAACTTGTACACTAGTATTTATATTGTGTGGGTCTTCATTGCTCTTTTCAGATTGAAAATTCCTTTCAATATGTTCAATATAATCCATGCATAATTGAAAATAAAAAAAAAAAACACATTTAAAATTTGTTATTGTTGAGTTATGATTTATTCTGAAAGGAAATTGTAAACCAGACAGAAACATATTGATACAATTAGAACATGACTAGAAATCTGGCCTATACTAGCATGACTTTATACTTGCTAAATCACCAGAGAATAGTATGTAAAATAAAATTGAGAAAAGCTTTAGATACCAATGTTGTAGACATTGATTGGACCCAGTTTTCAATCAAACTCTCAACCTTTAGCATGCAAAAAGATCAGATGCTGTTAATATTCCTGTGTAACCCCAACTTGTAGAGTATTTTGTATATCACAATGACTTTGTTTGTCTATTCGTCTGTTTATAAGCGCATATTTCTCAGCTGTTCTATAAAAGATTGATTTGATATTTGACCTAGAACTTTATAGCATTAAGTTGTACTGTGTCAACTATTTTTATAAGTAGTCTTTTGGTAGTTGACATTACTTTGAAATTTTACTTATGGACCACTGGGCATTGCCTTTTATGCCCTGGTCCCAGCAGATGGGGCAATTAGGTTCGCCATTATTTGTCTGTCCTCTTTACCACCCAAAATTAATTTCTATTCTTTACTTTACCTCAGTCAAATGTAATGAAACTTATGCATAATGCTTATTACAGATATAAGAAGATGTGGTATGAGTGCCAATGAGACAACTCTCCATTCAAGTCACAATTTTTAAAAGTAAACCATTATAGGTCAAAGTACGGCCTTCAACACGGAGCCTTGGCTCACACCAAACAGCAAGCTATAAAGTGCCCCCAAAACTACTAGTGTAAAACCATTCAAACAGGAAAACCAACAGTCTAATCTATATAAAAAATGAGAAACGAGAAACACTTATGAACCACATAAACAAACAACAACCACTGAACATCAGGTTACAGACACAGATCAAGTTATAATTTGAGTGGCCTCACTTTCACCATTCTTGAGTTATGGCCCTTTATAAATGGACAAAATGCTAAATTTTATGTTTCCGCACTCTAACTTTAGTTTGCCTTAACAAATGTTACCTAACTTATATATACAACGCTTATAAAAGCCAAACACAAATAAAATTCGGGTGGCATCACTTTCAGTATTCTCCAGTTGTGTCCTTTAATAGAATAAAAATTGGCACTCTTACTTTACCATGTTTAATACATTGACTCTTGCATATCTACAAGCTGGGGCATCTGTTTATCTTGAACACATTCTTCTTTTATTTGTTAAAGCCTAGTTACCAGTGATGAAATTCTTTGAATAGCATTTCTTGTTAAGATTTCCATTGTAAGTTCGAATATAGTAGGATTCTTTTTTGTCTTGCTTGCCACAAAAGTTTCAGAATAAGATTTATTGATTAATTGTTGTTATTTAATAGAACTTTCAACACTCTTTACAATATGGATCATCATGGCGACCACTTTTAATTTAGGTGTAATACCACCAAATCATAGTAAGTCACATCCGGTTGCATAAGAAAAAGGGTCGAAAACAAATATTCCCTTGAATTTGACAGTTGTAGGAAATTAATCCTATATTTTATTGCAGTAAAAAATTTCTGATTCATAAACATTTATCTTGGGTGTTTCAAAGCACCATTATTTTTATGCCCCCGCTGTAGCGGAGGGGGGATTAAGTTTTACCCTTTTCCGTCTGTCCGTCCGTCCCAAAGTTGGTTTTCGTTCTCTTACTTTAGTTTGCCGCAACCAAATGTTATGAAACTTATACACAATGCTTATTACCACTAAATACAGATCAAGTTTGAATTTTGGTGGCGTCACTTTTACCGTTCTAGAGTTTTGCTCCTTTACAAATGGAAAAATTGCATAAATTTTTCGTTTCCGGTCTCTAACTTAAGTTTGCCTTAACCAAATGTTATGAAACTTATACACAATGCTTATTACCACAATATACAGATCAAGTTTGAATTTTGGTGCCGTCACTTTTACTGTTCTATATAGAGTTATGACCTTTACAAATGGAAAAATGTTAAATATCAAGTCATTTTTATACGCCCGTTTACGGGACGTATTATGGTATACCATTGACCGTCTGTCCGTCTGTCTGTCTGTCCGTTTGTCTGTCTGTCCGTCGTCAACATGTCAGACATTAATTCAAAAACGCTTTAACTAATATGCATGAAACTTTGGTGAATTGTTTATATCTATTGACGTGAGCTCCCTTTCATTTTTTATAAATTTCAGATTTACCATTTCCAAGTTTTGGGGTTTTATTCATTAAAAAAGGGGGGATTTTCCAGTTTTCGGACAATTACTCATAAACAATATCACCAATTTGCATGAAACTTTTGTGAATTGTTCATATCTATTGACATGAGCTCCCTTCCGTTTTTTATAAATTTCGGATTTACCATTTACGAGTTTTGGGGTTTTATTCATTAAAAAAGGGGGGATTTTCCAGATTTCGGACAATAACTCAAAAACAATTTCACCAATTTGCAAGAAACTTTGGTGAATTGTTTATTTCTATCGACATGAGCTCCCTTTTGATTTTAATAAATTTCAGACTATACGTTTCCGATTTATGGGGTTTTATTCATTACGAAAAGGGGGATTTTCCAGTTTTCGGATAATAATTCAAAAATGCTTTCAGCATTTTTTATGAAACTTTGGTAAATTGTTTATATCTATTTTTGTAAGCTCTCTTTTGATTTTTATAAATTTTCGATTTTACATTTCTGAGTTGTAAGATTTTATTTGTTTATAGTCTGACAACAGATTTACTAAGTATTGCGCAACAGCACAGTGTATTGCACAACAGCAAGAAATCTTTCATATAACCAATTTCAAGTTATTTGACTACATTTATTCAGAAACCTATAATATATCAAATATTTAATTACAATCCAAATTCAGACCTGTATCAAGCTTGAATATTGTGTCCATTTTTGCCCCAACTCTTCAGGGTTGGACCTCTGCGGGCGTATCCAGCAACGCTCAGCGAAGCAGTTTATTAAAATTGGAGTAACTGTTATCTTCCTTTGTCCATGATTATAGTTGAATCAACTACAATCAATGCTTTAAACAATGCAATTTTTAATTTTGCCTACCACTGATAAATTAAAGCAATTTTTACCCTTCATTTCTAAAAATATTTTAAAGTCTTCTTTGAAAATTGGAGTTATCTTTCTTTGTGCATAATGGTAGTTGAATCAACTACAACCAATGCTTTATACAATGCAATATTCAATTTTACTTGCTACTGATAAATAAAAGCAATCTTTACCATTCAGTGCTTACAAGCACTTTAATTACCGTTCTAGGGTTATGCCCCTTTACAAATGAAAAAAATTGCTGAATTTTTCGTTTCTGTTCTCTAACTTGAGTTTGTCTTAACTAAATGTAATTTCTAAAAATACCAATGTCATTATTCAAGTAATTTTTAAAATTGGAGCTATCTTCCTTTGTCCATGATTATAGTTGAATCAACTACAATCATTGCTTTATACAATGCAATGTTTAATTTTGCCTTCCACTGATAAAACAGAGATCAAGTTGAATTTAGTTAATGTCACTTTAAACATTATTGAGTTATGCCCCTTTATAAATCGAAGATTGCAAAAATTTTAGTTTCCATTCTGTAACTTAAGTTTGCCCCAACCAAACATTATGAAACCTATACACAATATTCATTACCTCAAAACTAACATAATGTACAATTTTTTTGT